CGGCCGGGGTGGGGTCTCCCCCAACCCGGCAGGGGTGTGGCCCGGGCGGGAGTGCAGCTGTCGCCGCCCTGCCCACAGACGAAGGACGTCTTCTTCTTCGTCTTCCTGCTGGCCGTGTGGGTGGTGTCCTTCGGGGTGGCCAGGCAGGCCATCCTCGTCCACAACGAGAGCCAGCTGGGCTGGATCCTGCGGGGGGCCATCTACCAGTCCTACCTCACGGTCTTCGGGGAGATGCCTCCCTACATGGACGGTGAGAGGGCCGGTGGGGTCCCTGCCTCTCCCTGCAGGGGCGCCCCAGGGGGGCGTCGGTGGGGGGGGGCACTGGCAACAGCCTCTCGCTGGCAAACGCCACCCCGCTGCCCCACGCGGGAGGGCGCTTGGGGACGGTGAGTGCCTCTCTGTCCTGGTGTTCTGGAGAGCGGGTTGACTGGCGAGAGGGACCTGAGAGCAGCAGACAGTTGTGCAGACACCAGTGGGCAGGAGTGCTGGCCCGGAGGGCCAGGTTCACTGAGCGGGGCCCGCGTGGTGGCCGGCGCGGCCCCGGGGGGGTGCAGGCGCCCGCTGGCCAAGCCCTGACAGCCGGGGCGCCTTTCTCATCCACACACGTGATGGGTCTTGCTGGCGCCCGGTAGGTTGGGGGTGGCCGGACTCGCCCCTGGACTCGCTGGCGCCGTGGGCACCGTGACTGCCTGAGTCTGGGCTCCGCCCAGCGTCCTCCAGCCGGCCCCTCCCTGCCCCTCTCTCTGTGGCCCGCCCGTCGGCGGTGTCTGTCCTGAGCTGGACCCTCTGCACCCCGGCCACCCATCCCACGGGCGGCAGGCTCTCGCCCTTTCCCGGCCGAGTAGCAGCCAGGCGGCGGCGGGCCCTCTCCCTTCGCCCTCTGTGGGCCCAGGTTCCCCAGGCTCGCTGCAGCCCTCCAGGCAGAGACAGACGTGGGCCGGCCGAGCCTCGTCCCCGCGGCCCGGCGGCCTCCGGCCGCGCCCTCTCCCGGCCGAGTCCCGACGTGCGCTTCCCCGGCCGAGCGCGAGGGGGCGCCCTGGGCGCCAGGCGGCGCGTGTTGCTGATCCACATTGTACCGCCGGAGCCCGCCGGGGATCCGGGGTGCTGAGCCTCGTGGGCCGCCGGCTCTGCCCGAGGGGCCTCGCGC